TCTGCTAGGGTGGGTCGTGCATTTCGCTCGAGACATCCTGCCAAAAATCCAGGAAATCGTACAAAAACAAACGAATTAGTCGAGACATCATCGAAATTCCTTCGCGCGGGGCGCTTTTCCGCGTCGCGGTCGGCTCTGCAAAACAAGCGTTTCGCTCGAGACATCCTCGGCAAACTCTGCGGAGCAAGCGTTTCGCTCGAGACATCCTCAACACACGAAAAGTGGCCCGCACCCTGTGATTTATCGATCGGGATTTCAAAAACAAGCGTTTCGCTCGAGACATCCTCAAATTTTAATTCGCCGGCCTCCTTCGACCTCGTTATTTATCAGGGAAAAACTTCGCCGGCCTCCCTCAAGTTGGCACCGGGGGACAGGTTTACCTACTAAAAGAGAACCCTGGGCCTGAGCCCTTTTCCGGGGAAAATGACCTCCCCCCCCCGGCGGCAGGAGAGCAGCATTTTGGGAAAAAAATGGCGCCGGCGCCTCAGGCGAGAGTTCCTTCCCGGGATTTCAGGGGCATCCTGTGTGTAATGCGTAAAAAACAGTTGCGCGGAGGGGTGTTGCGCGGTATCACCCGACGCCATCAGGGGAAGAGGGAGAGTCTATTTCATATTGAAGGCAATGTGGAGGGGGGGCGGGGGGGAGGGGGAAGCGAGGGGGGAGGGGGGCGCGAGGGGGGAGGGGAGCAAGGGGGGGAGGGGAGGGGAGAGGAGCGCCCTGCCTGCCGAGAAGAGGTCCGACAGGAGGGCCGTCTGGGAGGACCCTGTTTGCACTCCAGCGGGGGGCGGCATCCCTGCGGGGGGCCACCGACAGGCAGGAGGAGGATGAGGAGGAGGACGTGGAGGAGGAGGAAGAGGTGGAGGAGGAACAGCAGGAGAGGCAGGAGGAGGAGGAGGAGGAGGAGGAAGAAGAGGTGGAGGAGGACGAGGAGGATGAGGAGGAAAGGAGGAGGAGGAGGATCCGCGGCCGAACCATCATTGCAGTTCTTCGCCGCCCTGCACTCGGCGCCACCCGTCTGGAAGAAACGGATCCGGCGTGGGAAACATGTCCTGGACCCGGGGGCCTTCCCCCAGGACCACTTCTCCACCCCGAGCCGTTCTCTGATAGTCCTGGGGCCCGTGGAGGGCCAAGGGCGGCCCAACACTGCGAAAAACGTCCGGACCCGTTTCAGGAGGGAAACATGATGGACCCACGAACCCGGAAAGGGATATAGACATGTGGAGCATGGGCACGTTTTCACGATACCCAACGGGGCAACACCTCACGAAACATCCCACGAGACACCTCACGAAACATCCCACGAGACACCTCACGAAACATTCCGCGAGACACCTCACGAACCATTCCACGAGACACCCCGCGAAACATTCCACGAGACACCCCACGAAACATTCCACGACGACAGGCACCCACTCAACCAAGGCGGTGTGGTCGTGCTGGGGAGTGGTCGTGCTGGGGTGTGGTCGTGCTGGGGGGTGGTCGTGCTGGGGGGTGGTCGTGCTGGGGGGGTGGTCGTGCTGGGGGGTGGTCGTGCTGGGGCGTGGTCGTGCTGGGGCGTGGTCGTGCTGGGGCGTGGTCGTGCTGGGGCGTGGTCGTGATGTGGTGAGGTCGTGCTGGGGTGTGGTCGTGCTGGGGTGTGGTCTTGCTGGGGTAGGGTCGTGCTGGGGTCGGGTCGTGCTGGGGTGGGGTGGGGTCGCGTGATGGAGGTGTGGTCGTGCTGGGGTGTGGTAGTGTTATGGGGTGTGGTCGTGCGGGGTGTGGTCGTGCTGGGGTGTGGTCGTGCTGGGGTGTGGTCGTGCTGGGGGGTGGTCGTGCTGGGGGGTGGTCGTGCTGGGGGGGTGGTCGTGCTGGGGGTGGTCGTGCTGGGGCGTGGTCGTGCTGGGGCGTGGTCGTGCTGGGGCGTGGTCGTGCTGGGGTGTGGTCGTGCTGTGGTGAGGTCGTGTTGGGGTGTGGTCGTGCTGGGGTGTGTCTTGCTGGGGTAGGGTCGTGCTGGGGTCGGGTCGTGCTGGGGTGTGGTCGTGCTGGGGTATGGTCGTGCTGGGGTGGGGTCGTGCTGGGGTGGGGTCGTGCTGGGGTCTGGTCGTGCTGGGGTGTGGTCGTGCTGGGGTATGGTCGTGCTAGGGTGGGGTCGTGCATTTCGCTCGAGACATCCTGCCAAAATACCAGGAAATCGTACAAAAACAAAGGAATTAGTCGAGACATCATCGAAATTCCTTCGCGCGGGTCGCTTTTCCGCGTCGCGGTCGGCTCTGCAAAACAAGCGTTTCGCTCGAGACATCCTCGGCAAACTCTGCGGAGCAAGCGTTTCGCTCGAGACATCCTCAACTCTGCAAAACCAGCGTTTCGCTCGAGACAACCTCAAGAAATTCTGAAAAACAAGCGTTTCGCTCGAGACATCCTCAAATTTTAATTCGCCGGCCTCCTTCGACCTCGTTATTTATCAGGGAAAAAATTCGCCGGCCTCCCTCAAGCAGGCACCGGGGGATTAGGTTTACCAACTAAAAGAGAACCCTGGGCCCAGGCCCTTTCCGGGAACAAAGGAATTAGTCGAGACATCATCGAAATTCCTTCGCGCGGGGCGCTTTTCCGCGTCGCGGTCGGCTCTGCAAAACAAACGTTTCGCTCGAGACATCCTCGGCAAACTCTGCGGAGCAAGCGTTTCGCTCGAGACATCCTCAACACACGAAAAAATGGCCCGCACCCTGTGATTTATCGATCGGGATTTCAAAAACAAGCGTTTCGCTCGAGACATCCTCAAAAATAATTTCGCCGGCCTCCTTCGACCTCGATATTTATCAGGGAAAAACATGATGGACCCACGAACCCGGAAAGGGATCTAGACATGTGGAGCATGGACACGTTTTCATGATACCCAACTGGGCAACACCTCACGAAACATCCCACGAGACACCTCACGAAACAGCCCACGAGACACCTCACGAAACATTCCACGAGACACCTCACGAAACATTTCACGAGACACCCCGCGAAACATTCCACGAGACACCCCACGAAACATTCCACGACGACAGGCAACCACTCAACCAAGGCGGTGTGGTCGTGCTGGGGAGTGGTCGTGCTGGGGTGTGGTCGTGCTGGGGGGTGGTCGTGCTGGGGGGTGGTCGTGCTGGGGGGGTGGTCGTGCTGGGGGGTGGTCGTGCTGGGGCGTGGTCGTGCTGGGGCGTGGTCGTGCTGGGGCGTGGTCGTGCTGGGGTGTGGTCGTGCTGTGGTGAGGTCGTGCTGGGGTGTGGTCGTGCTGGGGTGTGGTCTTGCTGGGGTAAGGTCGTGCTGGGGTCGGGTCGTGCTGGGGTGTGGTCGTGCTGGGGTATGGTCGTGCTGGGGTGGGGTCGTGCTGGGGTGGGGTCGTGCTGGGGTCTGGTCGTGCTGGGGTGTGGTCGTGCTGGGGTGTGGTCGTGCTAGGGTGGGGTCGTGCTGGGGTGGGGTCGTGCTGGGGTGTGGTCGTGCTGGGGTGTGGTCGTGCTGGGGTGTTGTCGTGCTGGGGAGTGGTCGTGCTGGGGTGGGGTCGTGCTGGGGTGGGGTCGTGCTGGGGTGTGGTCGTGCTGGGGTGGTCCGCACCCTGTGATTCATCGATCGGGTCGTGCTGGGGTGTGGTCGTGGTGGGGTGTGATCGTGGTGGGGTGTGGTCGTGTTGGGGTGTGGTCGTGCTGGGGTGTGGTCGTGCTGGGGTGTGGTCGTGCTGGGGTGTGGTCGTGCTGGGGGGTGGTCGTGCTGGGGTGTGGTCGTGCTGGGGTGGTGGTCGTGCTGGGGGGTGGTTGTGCTGGGGCGTGGTCGTGCTGGGGCGTGGTCGTGCTGGGGCGTGGTCGTGCTGGGGTGTGGTCGTGCTGTGGTGAGGTCGTGCTGGGGTGTGGTCGTGCTGGGGTGTGGTCTTGCTGGGGTAGGGTCGTGCTGGGGTCGGGTCGTGCTGGGGTGTGTCGTGCTGGGGTATGGTCGTGCTGGGGTGGGGTCGTGCTGGGGTGGGGTCGTGCTGGGGTCTGGTCGTGCTGGGGTGTGGTCGTGCTGGGGTATGGTCGTGCTAGGGTGGGGTCGTGCATTTCGCTCGAGACATCCTGCCAAAATTCCAGGGAATCGTACAAAAACAAACAAATTAGTCGAAACATCATCGAAATTCCTTCGCGCGGGGCGCTTTTCCGCGTCGCGGTCGGCTCTGCAAAACAAGCGTTTCGCTCGAGACATCCTCGGCAAACTCTGCGGAGCAAGCGTTTCGCTCGAGACATCCTCAACACACGAAAAAGTGGCCCGCACCCTGTGATTATCGATCGGGATTTCAAAAAAGATCGGAGCGTTTCGCTCGCGACATCCTCAAATTTTAATTCGCCGGCCTCCTTCGACCTCGTTATTTATCAGGGAAAAAATTCGCCGGCCTCCCTCAAGTTGGCACCGGGGGACAGGTTTACCTACTAAAAGAGAACCCTGGGCCCCCGCCCTTTCCGGGAAAATTCGCCGGCCTCCCTCAAGTTGGCACCGGGGGACAGGTTTACCTACTAAAAGAGAACCCTGGGCCTGAGCCCTTTCCGGGAAAAAACACACAGACACAATTAATCGTCGACTCCCAGGAAAATATTGGAAAATATGGGAATTGGGGGGGAAGACAAAAATCCAGAAAATATGAGAAAATATGGGGGATCCTTTTATTTGTGTCTGTTTATTTGTGTGTCCCAGGGCCCCTTCACCGTTTCCTTCAGGACCCGTTCCCAAACATCCAGAGTCCCGAGCGTCCCGAAATCTTCGAGACGCGGGCCCCCGACTTCTCGACAACTCCCCCGGGACCAACTTTTCATCCCGAGCCGTTTCTTGACGGCCCCGAGGCCTGGCAAGGGCCCCGAGGGGTCGATGACGATGAAAAACCTCTCTCGCGATGTTCCGCCAAACGCCAGATCTCTGGGTTTCCTTCGTGGCGACCGCTGCCTCCTGGCCCGCCCGGCCGCTTCGCGGCGACCGCCCCCTGCGGCGCGCGCGGGCTGCGGGCGGGCCGCCCGGGCTCAGAGCAGCGCGCAGCTGCCCCGCAGCAGCGCCGCCAGGCCTTCGGCCTCGTCGCTCTCGCCGCCCGCGTTGGTGCGCTGCCTTTGGCCCCGTCCTCTGCCCCCGCGCCCCCGCCCCACCGAAGGCGGCCTCCGTCCTCCCCCCTTTTGCGTTATGGCCCAGCGTGCGCATCGAGGCTGCTGCGTTTCTCAAGTGGCGGAACAACAAAGTCCGACTCAGCCGAGCGCAAACACACAGACTAAGGCTGCTGCCAGTGCGGGCGCGAGACGGGCAAGGAATAGGGACATAAGAAGTGCAGACGAGCGGTCCTTCGTGGCCACTCCCCCCCCAGGTGTCTAGGGGGGTGGGCGATCGCTGGGGCGCCCGAGCAGGTCGGGACACGAGACGGTGCCCCTGCCCTGCCTTCTCCTCCTCCTCCTCCACCTTTTTTTTCTTGGTCGAGCTCGGAGCGGTCCAGCCGCTGAAGCGTCAGTGTGCTCGGCAGTCAGCGCCCCCGACTGCCGAGCGATGCAAGGGTGCAGAGGCCTCGACCTTCCCCGTGGCCGACAGCTCGCGCATGAAGCGCTGCAAGGAGCATGCACTCTCGGCGCCCGTCGAGCGTTGCCTTCCTGACCGAAGTACACCCACAACATCCCCGCCCTCCTCCCAACCAAGTGCTCGGGCGGGCGCACGAGCCAGCATTGTAGCCGTCGATTGACGACAACCGCAGGAGCAAGGAAGAGATGAGGAGGTCAAATTACATCATGACGGGGTGGAGAAGGAAAAGGTGACTCGCCCCTGGTAGCACGCCGCCAGGACGACGAGTCACGAGCTCAAAAGCAGAAGTCTGGGGGACGGGGAGGCTTGGGGTGGCGCTCGACGGTTTATTTCGCCCGCCTTACCACTTGCGCCTCCCGTGCCCTCCCCGTCCCCTAAAGGAGAAGAACAGCACAATCTCCCCCTTGGTCGGCCCCTCAATAGTTCAACTACTCCGCAGTAGCGCTGAGCACGAGTACGACCTTCGTACACGAGGGGCCGCCAAGGGGGAGGACGCATTCAAGTACTCCTCCTCCACCAAAATCCACTCAACCGACTCCTCCTCCAACTTATTGTCGCCCAGGGCGACTAGACGGGCGGTAGCCTCGCGAGGCTCCTCTCAGCCTGCAGGCTGGGCAAAGCACACAGAACTGATCATCCCGCACCTACACAATCGCTCCAAAGCAAACCTATAGGTTCCTGCGAAGACTCGCCGACAAGGTCATGAAGAAGCGGGCCCTTCTGAAGGCCCGCCCAATCAGAACACCAACCGTTCGTGGAAGTTCAGCACATTGACTATGTTGTCCATGGTATACGTGGCAGCAACGTTCGGGCCCATGATGACGCAGCTCTATCTGATAGTCGCAATGTGTATGAATAATTATCATCTCTCTAGATTCTGTAGCGCCGAACATACAAGTGTCAATCTCAATGTGGCCCACTCGGGCCCCAATAGTCTCGAAGTCTGGCATGAAGTTCTTCATATTGTCGTACACCTTGCGCTCCGCTAAGACCGCCACAGGAACGCCAGCCATAGTACCTGCTTGCAGTAGCCTCCACGCCGACCTCACCTGAGAATTGTCGCCAGCATAGTTCTGTCGGCGTTGGGGAGGCAATCGTCGGATACCCCAAGGTTCAGTCTGAGTACGCCCTTGGTCAGGTCCAACTCCGAGCCACGTTCTCCCACTGAGATGAATTAGAATAGCACCTACGTGACCTGACTGCATCCGAGTAACGATCGTCCTCATCTGCGCCTCTTGTAGTCCAACCACCGTGCACTCCTCGTCACGTCCAGAATATGTTTCAATATCAAGGCCACATGCCTGATGAAGCGCATCTGAGAATTCTGCGTCGCCCTCGGCTTGAAAAACATTAAGCAGTACCATTGTACTGGGGTCGCCAGTCTCAATACGTCGAATTGCATTGGGTACCTCACGTACTGGTAGCCATACTTCAGGGACTTTGATAGGAACCAGCCTGTCACCCTTGCCCCCAAGAAGATCTCCGTGGCGAGCCCGTTGTCTAGCAACCCTGTAATTGAACCCTTGCTGGACTTGCTTCCGCTCACGTCGTAGATCCTCCTGCCGCAGAAGTTCAGCTTCATCAGTGGAAAGAAGGTCCCCGTTGTCCAAGAGCCATGAAATACACCTATTGCCTCGTCTGCGTAAGTGCCGTAACAAGTTGGAGCGATCCCCGAAGGCTGTGCCACAAGCTCCACACTGCGTACCTCGTGCTACCAGCTGGGCTCCATCAATCGGCTGATGGTCCAAGAAGTGTTTGCGCCAGGCAGACTCCTTCGAACACACCCATCCACAAGTATAGCACACGAATTTCTTCTCCAAGTCCGTGCTGACCGCCGGCGCCAGCTGAGCGTTGAGACTTCGTTCTGCAATTTGCATTTGGGCATTCTCAAGTTCTCTATACACGTGATACTCCCATGCAGTCTTGACTTCATTCAAACATGATGGACCCACGAACCCGGAAAGGGATATAGACATGTGCAGCATGGTCACGTTTTCACGATATCCAACTGGGCGACACCTCACGAAACATCCCACGAGACACCCCGCGAAACATCCCAGGAGACACCTCACGAAACAACCCACGAGACACCTCACGAAACATTCCACGAGACACCCCGTGAAACATTCCACGAGACACCCCACGAACAGGCAACCACTCAACCAGACACCCCACGAAACATTCCACGGGGGTGCGACTGGGTGTGGTCGTGCTGGGGTGTGGTCGTGCTGGAGTATGGTCGTGTTGGGGTGTGGTCGTGCTGGGGTGTGGTCGTGCTGGGGTGTGGTCGTGCTGGGGTGTGGTCGTGCTGGGGGGGTGGTCGTGCTGGGGGGTGGTCGTGCTGGGGCGTGGTCGTGCTGGGGCGTGGTCGTGCTGGGGCGTGGTCGTGCTGGGGTGTGGTCGTGCTGTGGTGAGGTCGTGCTGGGGTGTGGTCGTGCTGGGGTGTGGTCTTGCTGGGGTAGGGTCGTGCTGGGGTCGGGTCGTGCTGGGGTGTGGTCGTGCTGGGGTATGGTCGTGCTGTGGGTGGGGTCGTGCTGGGGTGGGGTCGTGCTGGGGTGTGGTCGTGCTGGGGTGTGGTCGTGCTGGGTGTGGTCGTGCTAGGGTGGGGTGTGGGGTCGTGCTGGGGTGTGGTCGTGCTGGGGTGTGGTCGGGGTGTGGTCGTGCTGGGGCGTGGTCGTGCTGGGGTGCGTGCTGGGGTGTGGGCGTGCTGGGGTGGTCGGTGATTTATCGTGGGTCGTGCTGGGGGGTGGTCGTGCGTGCTGGGGGGTGGTCGTGCTGGGGGGTGGTCGTGCTGGGGCGTGGTCGTGCTGGTCGTGCTGGGGCGTGGTCGTGCTGGGGCGTGGTCGTGCTGTGGTGAGGTCGTGCTGGGGTGTGGTCGTGCTGGGGTGTGGTCTTGCTGGGGTAGGGTCGTGCTGGGGTCGGTCGTGCTGGGGTGTGGTCGTGCTGGGGTATGGTCGTGCTGGGGTGGGGTCGTGCTGGGGTGGGGTCGTGCTGGGGTCTGGTCGTGCTGGGGTGTGGTCGTGCTGGGGTATGGTCGTGCTAGGGTGGGGTCGTGCATTTCGCTCGAGACATCCTGCCAAAATTCCAGGAAATCGTACAAAAACAAACGAATTAGTCGAGACATCATCGAAATTCCTTCGCGCGGGGCGCTTTTCCGCGTCGCGGTCGGCTCTGCAAAACAAGCGTTTCGCTCGAGACATCCTCGGCAAACTCTGCGGAGCAAGCGTTTCGCTCGAGACATCCTCAACTCTGCAAAACCAGCGGCCGCTCGAGACATCCTCAAGAAATTCTGAAAAAACAAGCGTTTCGCTCGAGACATCCTCAAATTTTAATTCGCCGGCCTCCTTCGACCTCGTTATTTATCAGGGAAAAAATTCGCCGGCCTCCCTCAAGTTGGCACCGGGGGACAGGTTTACCTACTAAAAGAGAACCCTGGGCCGATGCCCTTTCCGGGAAAAACTTTTCGTGTTCAACCTGGCGTGCTGGAACCACTGCTGCACCGTCCAAGCTGAGCGAGCTCTGTCCTTGCTGTAACTATCAAGCCATTCCAAGTCATCACGAAGTAGTGAGACCCAGGATCCCCGTTCGCCAGCCAATTGGTCAAGGAGAAGCCATAGGACAACAGGAGCCTGCAAAAACATCTTCCCAAAGTACATTAACCTCTTCTTGCGAATAATATCTCGTAGATGCAGTCTCCTCGCAGCACCTAAGACTTGTTCGTCGTTGTAGAAGCTAGTAGTCTGGCGATGATGCTGCAGACCTTGTGCCACGCGATATGTCGCGATTCGAGGTGTCTCCAACCGTTGCAAGAGTGACTCACTAAGTGCCGCCCATGTCTCGGCCAAATAAGTAAGATGCACATTGGCCAAGGTGTCAACTAGATTCGTTTTCGCTGGCCTCGTCATACCCCCAAATTTCGAAATCATCTTCTTAACAGGCATGGCCGCTATCTTCTGCTTCTGCACAAGGTGTGCTATCCGAGGGCCCATCTCGAGACGGCGGTTGATCATCGTCCCTAAGTACTTGTACTCCTTCACCACATGCACCTGAATATCCCACCGTGTAGGTATGATCAGAAGTTCGTCTTCGTTATCAAGTCGATCCCTCAAGTCAACAGGTGCTTGCCTGCTAGGCATGATGAACATGGCTGACTTGGACTTCTTGTAGTTGACCAAAAAGCCGTGCGAGAGCATAGCCACATGGACTGCATCCGCAACTTCACCAGCAAGTTGTATAGGATCTTGCAATGGCTCAACAGACTGCATAATTAAGGCATCGTCAACAAAGGAAATATCCGTAAGGTGAGGATCATCTTGTGATTCCGCAGGTGCAAAGCAGCTCTGAACTCCTCCCACCCGCAGAGGCAAGCTGGCACCTAGCGGACGTAGGGCCTCGTCGATGCTCTTGAGAGGCTTGCAAAACGCTGCGTTAAAGATCGCGTCGGCCAAAGAGCTTCCTGGACGCGAGCTCCCACGCGACCTAGCAACGGTGCTTAGGGTGTTAGTGCCAAAGTGCGTATCTCGATGTCCTTCAATCAGTAGGGC